AAACCAAGACTAAATTCTATGTACCTTGTGTACGTATCAGTGAAGAAGGTACATAGAATTTAAAACTACAGACAAATGTTAAATCTGATGCTGACCTTGAGTTGCACAGTAAAACTCATGAGAGGTCCACTGTGCTTTTTACTTTATTAACATAAAGATGTAAACATGATAGAGAACTGATTGATTTTTGGTATCCAAACATTACATCATAATTAACAACAAATGTAGAAATATATTGTAAATACACGGAATAATAGTACATTAACCTAAAGCACAGCAATAAATCGCAATGCTTAGCGTAAACTCGCAAACCGCTAATGGGACACTGTGCAGTTTGTTTATACTGGGAGCAGTCAAGGACTCTGTGTAATGTACAGTAACAGTACAATGGATAACAGCAGGCTCAACATGATCATCTAAACGTCTTTCATGGACACATACAGCTGACCCTTGAAGCGCTTAGGAAAGAGAGGGCGTTTGGTCCGTACTGCATCCTGAGGCAACTCTGGTCCTCTCCTTTCATCCAGCGCCAATTGAAAAGCAGCGGGTGAAAGGTTTCTTTTAAAAGGCCTGCGCGCCAAGATTTGTGATCTTGCAATGTGAAAAATAACCTACTTAATTCATGGCCACAAATGAAGCTACAAACGTCACACAGTTTAAACTCTTCCTATCTTCCAGTGTGCTGATATTTGCGTTAGGTAAGTAAGACGGGGCGTCTGCCCTGCACTGGCCCTTTAAGGGCAAAACCCGCCCTGAGAGAGGGCTGCGAGCTAAACCCCAGCTGAGGGTAGGGTTGCCAGGTGTCCGGTTTTGAACCGGACAGTCCAGTATTTGAGCTTTCTCTTTGGGAAACAAATTGAGAAAATAGAAATGAGAAAATAGAAATGCCTGGTATTTTCTAAAGAAGATGTAATGTAGATTGTGATGTCATGTCAAGTGTGTCTGGTATTTTTGTTGAAACCATCTGGCAACCCTAGCAGAGGGGGTTATGGCTAATGAGGGCCACGCTGGGGGCTATATACAGAACGGCTCGTGGAGGGAGAGGGGAAGGACTTATGTTCTGGCTGGGCAGCAGGAGGAACCTGGCTGCCTGGGGAGCAGGAGGCTCCCTGGAGGTGGAGCAATGCTGGGGAAGGAAGGCAGAGCAGGGAACACTCTGGCCAGATAAGCTCCCAGGCTGCAGGGCCTGAGGCCAGACCCAAGTGCAGGAGGGCTGCAAAGAGCCAGCCAGGGTAGGCAAAGGCCTCAGGTCCACACCCCTTTGCCAATGATGAGTGGCTATTACAGACTGCAGGGACTAGGTGAGGACTGACAGTGGGTCACCGAGGCAGGGAGGGTAGAGGGGAACTGGGTGTTCCCTGGGAGGGGAGGACCCTGGAGTGCAAAGACTGATAAACATCCTCCCTCTCCCTGCCCAGAAAGGGGTCGAGAGACACTGGAATGGGCACTACTGGAGGGCAGTGTCCTGAAGAGGACACCGTGGTCCAAGAGTGCCACGGGTCGAGGCTGGAAAGTGAAGCGAGGACACCAGCTGGAGGGAGGCGTCCAGCAAGCAGACAAGAGCTAGTTCCCAGTGTTACCAGCGGGAGGCTCCGTGGCGGTGAATCCGCCCCGTGACCGTAAGGAAAAGACAGTGCAGCTTGTGACGTTGTAGGGAATGGTACATATGCAGAAAACGTCAACCTGATGTTCAAACTATTTGCCTGGTTGCTGGAAAGTCGGTTCTCGGCAGATATTTTCTTTGGATCTTTGATGCTTAATTTCTACTCATTTGTAAGTAACACTGTATTTTCATGGGGCTCCTTCATAGGGAAGCCGATGCAGCTCTTTGCTACCGATTTAAGTTTTCATCTTTTCCAACCCTCACCGGTTCCAGCTGGTCACCACTCTGCCATTATTTGAGATTGAAAGTTGAGGTCATTTGCTCTTTATTTTAAATGGAGCATTTTAGGATGGTGCTGTAACCTCTCTTCCTTGAGACCAGTCTCCTTTCTATTAGATTCTATAATGGTCATTTCCTGATTGGTTTCCTCCGTGTTGTCATGAGCTCGGATTTTGGCATTATTTGAAATATTTTTTTCGGACTATAAAATGAGGTATGTATGCTGAAAACTAATTCAGGATGAAATTGTACATGATTCTCTTGTTTAGTACAGCAATGTGAAGAGATTCCATGGTGAAATAAGTAAAAACAGATACCTAAAGTGTGAGGAGAAATGAAGAGACACTAGCAAGGGAGAAAGTGTATTTTCAGGTGATGGTATACAATATGTCTGTCTGGAAATGTTCCCTCTATTTTTTTCCAGTCATGTGTGAAATACATTTTGTAATATGCGCTGAGGCATGTGTGTGTGTGCACCACCAGTAGAAACGCATGCTACTGGCTGTGGGCGCTCTACTAATCAGCTGGGTGGCACTTGAATCTCACCTGGTTAGCTGCCCAAGCGCTCAGAATACAGGGAACACTCCTATTCAGTTCTCCAGTATGCCAACAAAGTACTCCATTTTTCTTGCTGATTGTTGAGTCAGGGCATGTTCCTCGGAACTCCTCCTACACATGTTTCATGGACTACCCTGCTTGCACGCATCCTTTGGAACACTGCTGATTCAGAAATAGAATTCCTGGTCAGATTGTTTCAGTATTTCTCTTGGAATACCTACCCGAGCCCCAGCCACTGTTCCAAACAGCTACCAAAGCATATTCTAGGTGGCAGAAACTGCACAGGAGAAGACTCTTGTAGCATGATCATCAGACTGTAGAGCGCGGTAGGAGAGACAGGTTTTATATTTGTGGCAGGACTGAACGGAAGAATAGAGAGGAAGAGAATAGAGACTTTTGGAAACAATGAGGGGAATTTTGATCTGAATCTTAAAAAGAATAGCAGGTGTTAAGGATGGATGATCTGCTCAGGTGTCTGGCTTGCATAAGAAGGCACAAATTACTATGCCTATAGGAGACAGGAGAATTAGCTTTGGGGAGGCCCTAGAAGAAGAGATCCGAAGTACAGCCTTGTTCGGTAACTGAGAATGAGAATGTAATTTTGTAGGTCGTTCTTGTGTGTGATTCTGGCATAGAAAAAAATTGCGTTCTTTTCCTATGATTATGGGGTTTCACTTCTTTTGGCTCTTGTTCTTTTGTATTGGGCCTCCAGTCTGGTTTGAGCAGTCTGTAAAGATGAAACTCTTTGTAGACAAACTAGGAGCTTTAAATGCTTATGAAATGACTATATACCAGTAATACTAGATGCACTGAAAGTGCTCAGCCTGTCAGATATCTAGGGCCTTGTGTAACTATATCATTAGTGGATTATTTGGCTATGTCCCCATAACTGAAAAGAGCAGGTGTGTCATGGTGTTTTTCAGTTTCTCTGTACTGTATAATGTTGATGAAATATTTTGTATCGTAACAGTCTGTCAGCCAAATATCTTGTCACACGTCCCAAGACTTAAATCTCTTTTTTATCTCAAAGATTTCAGGCCTCAGTTGCAAACTTTTACGCTTTGAATACTTGTTGCTTTTGTCTAGAATGTTAGGAGCACATTTCTGAAATATTTGTCAAGATTTTATCAGTGTTTACTCCAATTTGAGATCCTCATGTATTGTAAAACTGGCTTCTGTGAAAGCTTGAAGTGTATTTATTTAGCTTATGCTGTTTATAAGTAAAATGAAAGGTAACCCTTCACCTATATGTTTGTCTGCCATGTTCAATCCCATTCACATCTTTTTATCCAACTTTTACTTTTTAAAACATTTTTACAACAATTGTTTTATGACTGCTCTATGGCACGTTAAACTAGATTTCTTGTTTTCATGAGCTGTCAGACAATGTTTTACTTATGTTCGATCTGGAGATGATATTTAAGGAGAAGATGAAACAAAGACCCAGGCTTCTCCTATGCATGAAAGATATTTGAACTAACATTATGGGGATCTTCTCTTTTTGTTAATGGTATGAGTTTTAACAGCTGATTCATTCCGCTCTTTTCTCATTGAGAAATTGAAATAATTTTCTAGTGATCAGGTAGTAGTTAAAACTACTTTTTTGACCCACAGTGAGAAGCAAAAATAACCCACCGGACCCTCACTGATGTGGAGAGAACTGAGAAGAAGAAAGACACTCGCCACATTCCCCTCACACACCAGAGCCTAGAGGGCCAAGCCTAGTATATTTTGTGTGCTTCAGCCCCGTGGCAGGGAAGCTGGAGTGCCAGCACAGGCTCCCCAATGCTGGGAGTAGGGCCATGAGCCGAGGGGGCCGGATTTAGGTGACTAATCAAAGCGTATGCATTTAAAGTCAGAACCAGCAAGTTAGCTCCTGACACTCCTAGCCTTTTCTTCTCACCGCTGAACCACTTCCAAATAGTTGGCATGAATATAATTTTGTTGCTGATTATTTACTTCTTATTTGTCATGTTTCTTGAGAATTAAAATGAGGAGGCAAATACTGTGCACCTTGCCTGCTATCAAACATGCAGTTGTAATGGCTTCCTGAATCTTTTCTTTTGGGGACCAAAGATCAGTGATTTCTGTTCAACAGAAATATGTAAAATCAAACTACAGGTTGAGCTTCTCTAGTCCGGCACATTCTGGTCTGCAACATCTGTAGTCCGGCATGATTTGAGTTAGCTGGGTACCCACTTATCAGGTTGTGGACAAGTTTCCTGTAGTCCCATAAAGTTTGTTTATAGCCACCAGTCTTGGCTCTCGGGGTTCTGTGCTGTTATTTAGCTCTAATGTATCCCTAGATGTCTTCTAGGAGTCCAGTAAGTGGCAGTGTTGGTAATGTTGCTAGATAGTATTAACTTCCCGTGGGCTGGTAAATTCTCTGGTTCAGCACCAATCAAATCCCAAGGGTTCCGAACTAGAGAGGTTCAACCTCTATCGATTTGAACTTATTAGTGGGCATTTATAACATTTTCTGTTCAGTCTTGTCTCTTCAATGATAACATGTTTGAGTAAGATTGTGAAACGACACCTACATATCTTTGCATTTTTCCAGGTACAAGACATCTCCTTCAGCCATGACTGTCGTTGGGTGGTGGTCAGCACCCTGCGGGGCACTTCCCATGTGTTCCCCATCAATCCCTACGGCGGCCAGCCCTGTGTCCGCACACACATGTCACCCCGGGTGGTAAACCGCATGAGCCGTTTCCAGAAGAGTGCGGGGTTGGAAGAGATTGAGCAGGAGCTGACATCTAAACAAGGAGGCCGCTGCAGCCCTGTCCCAGGCCTGTCGAGCAGCCCATCCGGCTCACCTCTTCATGGTAAATCCCCTTTTTCTTCTGTGTGGTCAGGGGTGCCTTTCCGACGTCGGCTGTTTCACTAAGCCGCTGTTGTATCATTCCATGTTCAGTTGTCATCAGTATCTTAAAAAAGAAAATACTGATTTCACTGCAGTTTCCAGTAACACTGGATCCAGGTAATCTGTATTTCCACGTAAGGTGATGCTGCTGTGCCTTGTATTGAATGGCTGCAAATACAGTACATGCAATCTGTGATAAAGTATTAATGTGCAAAGTACCTAGCTGTTATGGGGATGGGTCCCCTCTAAATATGCAAGGCAGAGAGTGTATTACTTTAGAACCTGCTGAGATAAACTTTTGGAAAGTGGCCATTTTAATAGTCTCCATTGTAAATGAAAAGGTTAGAGGCTTTCACATTTCAGATTTTGTTTCACAGCTATCATTAGGTCTCTAATCTTGTCCATATTGTGAATGAAATTGTCTGAGAATCTCCTTGCTCGTCAGCCTTGGATGGAGCACATTTGGACACCCAGAAGACTAATCTTTATTGTTTGTGGGGAAAACATGGAAGCCAGGTGCAAGGTCGCTGACAGGAGGGGTAGCAAAGGCAGCAGTTGCCCTAGGGTACAGTGATTTAAAAGGGCCTGGGATTCCAGGCCCTTTAAATTGCCATCCCGGTCCCGTGAGGCACAGTCCTGGTGGTGCTGAGGGCTAGCTGGGGGAGACGGGATGTGGTCTTGGCTGTGCTGAAGGCTGGCTTCTCCCTAGCTCCGCCCCTTCTGCCTGAGTCTCCTCCCCTTGTCGGGGGCCTGAGACCGAGGACCCCTTCCCCCCCGCACACACACACACATTGATTGCCCAGGGCTGGGCAAAGTCTGCCACCAGTCCTGCCAGGTGCAAAGAGTTTGACAGGACAGTATTCTGTTTTTTCTCAGTAGCTTTTTTCTTTTAACCGTGCAGTTAATAAATGTATAAAAAAGAAAAAGCCTTTAAGACTTGCCTTTCCATAGCCACTCTGATGTTGTGCTGCTCTCGCGAGCCGTGAACCATCAAGAAAGCAGAGTCCACCATCCAGGAGATCACAACTTTTGGTCGGAAATTATAATAATATCCACAGTCCTAATTACCCTCAGTTTCTTCTTGCTTCTCTAGGCTGTGAGCTTTGGAACCAGCTGTTCATTTTTGCCCTTCTCTTTGACGGGGTAATTTTTTAGCATTCTGGTTGCTCTTTGGATTTAGAATGATTTCTGTGTATTCCTTCCTGGAATAAATGAAGGTCTGTTTGGGGATCCTGAAGCTGCCCTCCCAAATGAGGAATATGTCCCCTCTGCTGATGTGTGAAAGGAAGCCTAGGTCTCCCCTACAGTGTCATTGGGACAGGAGGTTAGAAAGGGTAGGGAATCCCGACAGCCAATCGACAGGTGTTAAAAGGGCCAGACAGATCATGAACACTAGTACCCTCCCCCTTCCTGCTTTCATGGTTGTCCTCTGTGTGATTAGGATCACCTTTGTGGGAGTCTTGGCCTGTTGTTTTCAGAGAAATGAACGCTCCTTCATAGTCTAAAAGCTGAGCTTCCCTCTCCCCCCCCCCCCCTTTGCCTCCCCGGGGCTTCTCCAATGTAGTGGGATCTGTTGATTAAAAAACTTGCCCATATGCAGGTCTTTCACTAGCAGGGCCTGGGGTAACCTCTCTCCCCTCCCCCCCCCCAGTGCCCCACGTGTGGGGGCCCAGGGCAAGCTCCCCTCCCCCAACCACAGGCCTCGCCCTGCCTCTGCTTCACCCCCCTGCCTCACCTCCCGCTCAACCCCTCGCCTCACCTCCCGCTCCACCCCTTTCCCAAGCCCTGTCCCTGCTCCGCCCACTTGTCCAAAGCCCCCTCCCCAAGCAATGGGAGCCAGTGCATTACCGGGGCCTGTTGCGGGGCGGCAGCAGGGTCACCGCCCCCCTGTTCTCATCCCGCCCCCCGCACTCTGGCAGGAACCAGAATGACCCAGCAGTCTGTGCTGCTCTGCCCCACCGCCCTCTCCCAGCCTGCCGTACTCTGCTTCACCATGGCCTTGGGAAGCAGCGTGCCCTGGGGCCGGGGTGCTCTGCTTCCTTGGGTGGGGTGGGGTGAGGTGAATCAGAGCAGGCTGTCACTCCTGCTCCTGCCACCGCAGTGGGGGTGGGGGAACAACCCATTGTGGTTGCCCCATACTAGGCCCTCTGTAATTCTCCTGGCCACCCTGGGCCGCATCCATAGGAGGGTTGAGGCAGCTGTAGCGAAGACCCCCAAAATGTGGGGTCAGAGGCAGCCTACCCAAATCGCTCTGTAGCGGGACGGCTCTGTCCATATGAAAAGTTTCCTTTATTGCCATTACAGTAGCACCTCTCCTGATTATAATGCCCTGCGAAAGTCAGGAGGGGGCCAGAAATATCTGTGCCTTCTCATTTCTCCTCAACATATTGATGCAGATGTTAGCATAGCCTACTCCTCTCATTACCATACAGCCGTTCAGGGTGACATGCTTGGAGCAGACATCAGATTGCTGCGAATAATGATTGTAACACATCCAATCATTTTTAACAATTGATGTCACATAGCGAACAGGAAGGAACTCTCCACTGCTGTACCTTTCATCCATCTGAATCTGTTTCTTGTCAGGAGAAATTACAGTAAGTTGTGCCTTTACCAGTTTCCTAAACACATTTGAAGTTTTAAAGAGATTTAGCATTTGATATTCAAAGAGGAACTAAGAGATTTCATTTGGCTTTGATTAGTCTGCCCAGAGATTTCTGTAATGGACAGATTTTCTGAACTGGGGAAATAGCTAACACATTCACACCACAGCGTGGTGGTATTTCCAAAGAAACAGAAGCCAGGTGTTTCAAAACTGACTCGTGAGTTGCGGTGCTTCAGTTTGGGGAGGGTGTTCGTGTTTCACAACGCTTTTAATAGGGCCTAATTCACAGAGACTGTGTGTTTGAAAATTAGGCCCTTTTTGGACACGGTCAGTTGGGTGCTCCAAATTTGAGGCACTCAGAAAATGCTACTTGTGTCTGAAGACTTTGATCAACGCGTTTAAGTAAATATGTCTGTCTCTCCGAACAATTTTTAGAAGCCTCAAATGATGGATTCTCATACCTAATTTGAAAATGTGCTTGGAAGATTATAAACAGTTGAATAATTACTTTAAAAAAAATAAAAGGAATTATTTAACTTAGGTAAGTGTTGAGCTGGTGAGATGTTTTCTAGAAATGTGAAAACAGCCTTTATCATAATACCAGACAGGGTGTCACTGCAGTCCAAGTTACGGCAAGTCAGTTGGCAAAAGATTAGAAACCACTATTGCCCCATGGAGAGCCATGTGCAGATCCCAGGGAAGTCTTTCCTTCCTGAAGCTTAGCTAGGGATAGGGAAGGTAATGAAACAGAAATTGGAAGGAGGGTGAAAGAGAAATGGGGATGAGCACAACGTTAGCCTGGTTTTGTAGTTTGAGGAAAGGGATCTGACAATCTGGAGAGAGATGCACTGCTGGTCTTGTGAACAGGCAGGTACTTTCAGGTCTGTCTAAGGAAGGAACAAGGATTACGATAGATGGTGAAAGACTGGCAGTGCATTGTGCTGAATTGTAATAGTGAATCACTGGTGAAATGTGGGTAGGAATGTGGAAAGAACATTGCAGCCTTTTTCAAAAAAGCAAAAGCTCCTCTTCCTTCTCCACCTGCCGCTGTCCATGCCACCACCTGTGTATGTTCACTGAATGCAATTAGCATGTGAGAATATAGTAATGACGTATTTTAGAATGTGATATTTGGAAGTGGGACTCAAATCCCGCAAAAAATAAAAACAAAACAAAACCAAAAAAAAAGAGAGGTCTTGGTGTCTGTTTAAATTTCTGTGCCATACCTTGTTCTGCTTCAAAATTAAATATGAAATTTCTGACCAGAAGCAAATGTGTATAAGGTGGGGGTTTTAAACCAAGTCCTAGAATTAAGATAAAATCTGTTTACTGTACTTCTAACCAGTGTATTATTTAGATGTTCATGTTGTGCCTATTTACAGTCAAAAAAGTACTTAAGGGACTGAAAGGATACAGAAAGGATACAGATGGTTAATCTGTATTATGTGCCTTGCTTTTTAAAAATACTTTTATCGTATACTTGAAAAACATAATTAACTAAAGTTCACAAAGACTTTCATTGCAAGGATTTGGTGGACATGTGTGGCAGCTGGACTAACAGGAAACTGCGATGAGTGGTTTAGTCCACGAACTAAGAAAGATTGACACAGGATTGTAACAGCTCCTTGGTATAGTATATGGTTAAATAGGCAGATATTGTGTATTGTTTTCATTTCAAAGAGTTATTGTTGTCTCCTGTCAGGTCTAGTGATTAGTGAAGAAGAGTGGCCTTTGGGTTCTATACCAGTCTTCTTCGCTGACTTGCTGTGTGACCTTGAGGAACTTATTTATCTATATGAAAATTTCCCACACCTGTAAAATGAGAATCATAATCTGTGTTTTAAGGGGTTTGGGATTTAATTAATTTTTTTAAAGTGCTTTAAGATCCTCTGCTGAAAGATGCTTTTTAAATTCAAAATATCGTAACTTATTTAATTCTGTGCATCTGCAGCCTGGGAAGTAAGAATGGTCAATCAGTGTTTGCTAAGATCACAGTAAATTATAAGTAGAACTCTTTTCTTTGATATTAGTCCTATACTGGCTGAAAAACTTGTATATGGTGAGCGTTTAGCATAGCTACTTATCTGTGCATAGTGCTTACTGAGGTATCTGTAGGTCTCACAGTTAGCAGTTTCATTTTTTTTATCAAGGTAAAGATGGCCAAATAGATTGTAGTACAGAATGCCATCCTTGTCAATTGACTTTTCTTGATTGTACATTCCTGACTTGATGTTCTTAACCAAGTACTATGTGCAATTCAGAAATATTGCATTTAAGATGTAGAAAACTTGCATAGCAGACCTTTGCTAATAATGGTTCTGTTAATACTTCTTTCATATTAAAATGGTAGTAATATA